CCAAAATGCTGTGGACGTGGGATAAGACGGATGCTGTGATCTTCCAGGGCGTCCTCTCTGCTGCGGCGTCCTTCCTGGTCAGCACAGCCACCGGGAGATGCTGCTGGACGCTGTTCCTTGGGCTGTGGTTGGTCACGTCTGCGGTATATGTTATCGCCGCTGCTCTCCAGGTTGGAAATTCCTCTTCGTCTTGTATTTTGTTCTCCAAGTTGGGAATTCCTTTTGCTAATGCCTCTTCTTCTCTGTGTGTTGTGTCCGGGTTCTTTGGGAGCGCCTCTTACTCTGGTTTCTTACTTTGTTTGTGTATCTCTGTCTCTCTTGCTTTGTGTGTGTTGGTCTGTCTGTTTTGTTTGTTTGTCTCTCTTTCTGTTTGTCTGGCTTGCGGTCTCTGTCCCTCTCTGTCTTTGTATTTGTTATTTTTTTCTCTCTCTCTCTCTCTGTCTGTCTGTCTCTCTCTCTTTCTCTCTTTCCCTCTCCTCCTTCTCTCTCTCTCTCTCTTCCCTCTCTCCCTCTCTCTCCTCCCTCCCTCTCTCTCTCTCCCTCCTCTCTCTTCCTCCCTCTCTCTCTCTCCTTCCCCGTCTCTCTCTCCCTCCTCTCTCTCTCTCTCCCTCTCTCTCTCCCTCCCTCTCTCCTCTCTCTGTCTCTCTCTCCCTGGGCCTTTCTCTGACCCACAGCTTCCTCGTCTCTCTCTGTGTTGCAATTAATTTCCCAGAGTTGCATTTCATGCTTCTGAATTAGGTTAAACGCATGCCTCGCCTTAACAGTGTGTGTATGAAAAGCTGTGTGGTGCTATGTGTAATATAAAAAAAAGGTAATAACTAAAGATACGTGCGCATTTAGATTAATGTAAGTCGCTCATTATCTGTAGAAAATGAATAATTGTATCATTAGAGGATTAGAAAGAGTATTTATTCATTTATTTGTCTGTGTATTCATTTATTCATATTTCTAGGTATCTCCAGAAGGGCGCGCTGTTCTGATCACCGGATGCGACTCTGGCTTCGGTTTCGACCTTGCACTACACCTTGATAAATTGGTAATTTTTTTTCATTATTAATTTGATTCATTTGCATATTTTTATTCTTCACTGATTAATGAGAGGTACTGATACTTATCTTATGATTGCAATTCTGATTTAGAGCTGATGAAGGTGCTATGTACGCATTAAGAAGTTTTAGATTACAAGGTGGTGGGAGTCGGAGAGAAAGAAAGGGAGGAAGAGAGAAAGAGAAATGTTTGTGTTGAGATACATACGATATCAACATAAAAGCAAACATGATACATATATACAACAACGATAACAACAAAAACTACAACATTAACAACTTCTATAACAACAAAAACTACAACATCAACAACAAAAACTACAACAAAAACTACAACATTAAACAACTTCTATAACAACAACAAAAAACTACATCAACAACAAAAACAACAACAGCAACAATAACAGCAAAAACTACAACATTAACAACTTCTATAACAACAAAAACTGCAACAACATCAACAACAAAATCTACATCAACAACAACAACTGCAACACCAACAAAATCTACATCAACAACAACAACTGCAACAACAACAACTGCAACAACAACATGGAATACTCAAAGGTGACTCAGCCGAATTTAAACGACTTACAGCAACGATCATTTATCAAAAAGTCTCTTGCATATTTTTTTTTTAGTATTTCTTGTATGGAACGTACGTTTTGGACCACAAAGGAATGCAGATTGTTTCAGCTTGAAAGATTGACCTGAGATAAACAGGTTTTCTACATAATGACATGTTTTCTGTACGATTTCTGTAGAGTGATACATCTTCGTCCTTTTTTTTTAGAATTATTGTTTTTTTGTATAATTTCTGGATAGTTATACATCTGCTTTTTTTTTTAATTATTGTTTTTTTTTGTATAATTTCTGGATAGTGATACATCTGCATTTTTTTATTATTGTTTTTTTAATAATTTCTGGATAGTGATACATTTTTCTAAATATTTTTTGTAGAATGATACATTTTCTTTTTTATATAACTTCTACAGAATGATACATGTTCTATATAACTTCGACAGAATGATACATTTTCTATATAACTTCTAAAGAATGATACATTTTCTATATAATTCTACAGAATGATTACATTTTCTATATAACTTCTATAGAATGATACATTTCTATATAACTTCTACTACATTTTCTATATAACTTCTACAGAATGATACATTTTCTATATAACTTCTATAGAATGATACATTTTCTATATAACTTCTACAGAATGATACATTTTCTATATAACTTCTATAGAAATGATACATTTTTCTATATAACTTCTACAGAATGATACATTTTCTATATAACTTCTATAGAATGATACATTTTCTATATAACTTCTACAGAATGATAACATTTTCTATATAACTTTATAGAATGATACATTTTCTATATAACTTCTACAGAATGATACATTTTCTATATAACTTCTATAGAATGATACATTTTTCTATATAACTTCTACAGAATGATACATTTTCTATATAACTTCTATAGAATGATAAATTTTCTATATTTCTAATGATACATTTTAGGAATGATACATTTTCTATATAACTTCTATATGAATGATACATTTTCTATATAACTTCTACAGAATGATACATTTTCTAATATAACTTCTAACAGAATGATACATTTTCTATATAACTTCTACAGAATGATACATTTTCTATATAACTTCTACAGAATGATACATTTTCTATATAACTTCTACAGAATGATACATTTTTCTATATAACTTCTAAGAATGATAATTTTTATATAACTTCTCTACAAATGATACATTTTCTATATAACTTCTATAGAATGATACATTTTCTATATAACTTCTACAGAATGATACATTTCTACTTCTACAGAATGATACATTTTCTATATAACTTCTATAGAATGATACATTTTCTATATTTCTACAGAATGATACATTTTTCTATATAACTTCTACAGAATGATACATTTTTCTATATAACTTCTACAGAATATAGAATCTACATTTTCTATATAACTTCTAACAGAAATGATACATTTTCTATATAACTTCTATAGAATGATACATTTCTATATAACTTCTATAGAATGATACATTTTCTATATAACTTCTACAGAATGATACATTTTCTATGTAACTTCTACAGAATGATACATTTTCTATATAACTTCTATAGAATGATACATTTTCTATATAACTTCTACAGAATGATACATTTTCTATATTTCTATAGAAATGATACATTTTCTATATAACTTCTATAGAATGATACATTTTCTATATAACTTCTATAGAATACATTTTCTATATAACTTCTACAGAATGATACATTTTCTATATAACTTCTACAGAATGATACATTTTCTATATAACTTCTACAGAATGATACATTTTCTATATACTTCTACAGAATGATACATTTTCTATATAACTTCTATAGAATGATACATTTTCTATTAACTTCTACAGAATGATACATTTCTATATAACTTCTACAGAATGTATATAACTTCTTGATACATTTTCTATATAGAATGATTCTACATTTTCTATATAACTTCTATAGAATGATACAATTTTCTAACTTCTATAGAATGGAATGATATGATACATTTTCTCTACAGAATGATACATTTTCTATATAACTTCTACAGAATGATACATTTTCTATATAAACTTCTATAGAATGATACATACATTTCTATATAACTTAACTACAGAATGATACATTTTCTATATAACTTCTACGAATGATACATTTTCTAACTTCTACGGAATGATAACTTCTTTTCTATATACTTCTAAGAATGATACATGTTTTATATAACTTCTATAGAATGACAGAATGATACACTTCTAATAGAATGAACATGATACATATATTTCAATGATACATTTTCTATATAACTTCTACAGAATGATACATTTTCTATATAACTTCTATAGAATGATACATTTTCAATATAACTTCTATAGAATGATACATTTTCTATATAATCACACGATCTACATAAAGGTAAGGTGATTGTTCCATCTTGATAAATTCACCTGAAATAAACAGGGTTTCCATAAGGGATTCTTTAGTCTTGTTTATATTTCTCGTTTCTTTTCTTCTCTTTTGTCTTTCTCTTTCATTTGTGTTTGTCTTAACCCCATGTTTTTTTTTTTTTTTTTTTTTTTTTTTTTTTTTTTTGTCTCTCCTTATTTCCGTTTCGTGTTTGCTGTTGTTCTTTGTCTTGTTCTTGTTCTCCCCTGTTTTTTTGTTTTTGTTCTTTTTCTATTTTCTTCTTCTTTTTCTTGCTCTTTTTTCATTCTTATTCTTTTTTTCTTCTTCTTCTTATCTTTATTCTCATACTTTCTTGTTATTTTTTATTGTTATTTTCTTACTCTTTTTGTATTTCTTTTTATTCTTATCCTCTCTTGTCTTTTTTTTTTAATTTGTTTTCTTGTTTTTTTCTTGTACCTTTTGTTATTTTCCTTTGTCTTTTTATTCTTCTCCTCTCATTATTTTTATTAGTTATTTTTATTATTTATTATTATTATTATTATATTATTATTTTATCATTTTATTTTATTAGTTATTTTTATCATCGTTTCACCTTTTGTTTTTTCTTGTTCCGTTCTTGTTTCTTTTTTTTCTTTTTTTTTTGTTTTTGTTTCATGTTATTGTTCTTGTTATTTTCAATTTCTTATTCTTCTTTCTCTTTCTTGCATCTTTTCATATTTTTCTTCTTTTTTTTTTGTCTCTTCTTCATTTCTGTTATGGCCCCCTGTCATTTTCTTTATCATACATATATGTATATATATATATATATATATATATATATATAATATATATAATATATATATATATATATATATATATATATATATCACTATTTCTTTTTTCTTTCCTTTATCTCTTTTATCCTTTGGCTTCTTGTTTTATTTTTCATTTTCTGTTTTTTTTTCTTGTTCTTGTCTTTCTCTTTTCTTCTGTTAATTCGGATGATTATTTGCTTTCTATCTTTTTCCTCTCCTTTTCCTGTTATTTTCTTTGTTGCCCTTCTTTCTCTCTCTATTCTTTTCTGTTTCTATTGTTTTCTTGTCGTTTTTCTCAACTCCCCTGCTCCTTCTTCCTCTGGCTCTTCCTCTCCCCTCCCACTCCCTCCCCTTCATCACCGCCCTTCCCCATTCCCCTCACCCTTCTCTTATGTCCTCCCCCTCTGCCCATCACTCCCTTCCCTTCCCGCCCCCTCCCCCACTCCTTCTCCCCCCCCTCCCACTCTGCCTCTCTCCACTTCCTCCCTTCCTCCCCTCCCCTCCTCCCCTCCCCTCCCAAATCGCTAACACCCGCCCCCTTCCCTCCTGCCAGGGCTTCCGCGTGTTCGCCGGCTGCCTCCTCGCTGTAGGGGGCGGTGAAGGCTCCCGCAGACTTCGCAAGGAGGGATCCGAGCGCCTTCACGTCCTGCAGCTGGATGTCACGTCTTCTGAGCAGATAAGGAAGGCGGTGGAGGAAGTCAAGAAGACGATGCCAAAGGAAGGTGAGATGATTACCGTAGGCTTTTTATTGAATTATTTGTGTTTTTGTATGTTCTTTAATATAACATACATACGCGAGTGTTTCTGCAAACGATCTATGAGAAATTCTCAATAATTCAGATATGCACAGTGACTACAGAATTGTAACTCTAAACACAAATAATTATATAAAATTCTTTTTGGATTTGAGTGGACTTTCATTGTCGTTTAAAGAAAATGGAAATCTAAAACATAATTTAACTCATATCCTTCAGAGACTTGTACGTTCATGAAATTGGCAAACAAAGAGTAGTTATATGATGTCAAATTTATTTTTGTAGAATTAACTGGTTCTGTGATACCTCATACACACTTATACATATGAGGAAAATGACAGCACCAACAAAGATGCCATGAAGAAAGGAAATGCAAAGAAACAAGAGTTCTACTTATATTTTTTTCTTTATTTTTCCAAGGCGTAGACATATTTGAGAGAATGGGGATGTCTGGTGACAAGTTAACAGATTGATCTTAGGGATTCGTTAAAGGAGAAGTTAATGATGATAATAATTCGAAATGCGATATCATTTGGACGTGTTAAGTCATTGTCTCGACAGGAAAATAGGTAGGAAAAAAGAAGAAAAAATGTGTATTCTACATACCACAGGTGGGCATCCAGGCTTGAACAAACAAGCAAACGTCAAAACTAGATCGCAGAACTCTAGAAAAATAAAACGACAAGATACACAGGCAGTAAACATCTACGAAAGAGACCCTCCACAAAGAAGTTTCCCTCCACCCCTCCTTCTGTCCTCTCCTCCCTTTCCTTCTCTGGCCCTTACTCTCGCTCCCTTCTCCCTCCTCCCCCCTTTCCCCCTCCCCTCCCAAAGCAAGCTCCGTCCGCGAACTAGGTCATCCCTATACGTCGCAGGGCACGTGCATAACCCCCGAGGACTCCGGGAGGTCACCAGAATCCCAGACGAGAAGCTAGGTCAAGATGGGTTCAAAGGAAAAATTTCGCTTTCCCTCCCGTTTTGTTGTTCAGTGGCCAAAGGTGATTTGTTTCCTCGCCTTCATGTCTAAATACGGGTGAGAGAGAAATGAGCTCAGGAGGTCAGGTCAGCCATTATTCAATCTTTCTGTTACTTTGACATCTGATGCAAGTTTTTTAGCACAGGTGGCGTCTTCTCGGAACACGGTCCAGTTTTCGGTAGTTCATATATCAATTTCTTCCAACTTATTGCAAAAAGTTGTTTTGGTTATTCTTTGCTCTTACATTTTTATTATTATCATTATCATGAAAGAGAGAGAGAGAGAGAGAGAGAGAGAGAAGAGAGAGAGAGAGAGAGAGAAGAGAGAGAGAGAGAGAAGAGAGAGAGAGAGAGAGAGAGAAGAGAGAGAGGGTGAGTGAGTGAGTGAGAGTGAGAGAGAGAGAGAGAGAGAGAGAGAGAGAGAGAGAGAGAGAGAGAGAAGAGAGAGAGAGAGGAGAGAGAGAGAGAGAGAGAGAGAGAGAGAGAAGAGAGAGAGAGAGAGAGAAAGAGAGAGAGAGAGAGAGAGAGAGAGAGAGAGAGAGAGAGAGAGAGAGAGAGAGAGAGAGAGAGAGAGAGAGAGAGAGAAGAGAGAGAGAGAGAGAGAGAGGAGAGAGAGAGAGGATGAGAGAGAGAGAATGCGTGTGTGGTGTGTGTGTTTTGAGTCCTTTTTCATAAACGTTCAGTACCACAAACACTCACATTCGGTCCAAGAGAAAGAAGACAAAATGGGGTCTTTGCTAACATGAATATAACACGCAAAATCATCTCATCTTGGCAAGGAAAAAGTGACGTCATTTATAAACCTGATTACATCTATTTCCTTTGCTCGTTCGGTAAGGATTCTGACAGTGATTTTTCTCATACTTTTTTAACGTTATTTACAATCATTTTCCGTTTTCTTTTGCCCTCTTACCAGCTGTATTTTCATGGGTATCTTCGATAATGATGGTTATTGCCTTCGCTATCTTTGAGGCTTTATATACTTATTCAGAGTCATGGTTCATTGCACATGGTTTTCAGAAAATATATAAATGCACACACACACACCACACACACACACACAACACACACACACACACACACACACACACACACACACACACACACACACACACACACACACACACACACACACACACACACACACACACACACACACACACACACATGCACACACGCACACACATGATAGCTTGCATACGTGCATACACATAAAAACGTACATACATACACACATAAAAGTGTACATAGAAGACAAAGAAGTGAAATTGGTGGGAGAAGAAGATGAAGAAACAGATGGAGCGAAGAAAGAAAGAAGAACAGAAGAAGAAGAAGAAGGAACAACAGAATGAAACGAAGATAATGATAATAATAATAATAATAATAATAATAATAATAATAATAATAATAATAATAATAATAATATAATAATAATAATAATAATAATATAATAATAAATAATAATATAATAATAATAATGATAATATAAATAATATATATATAATAATAATAATAATAATAATATAATAATAATAATAATAATAATATAATAATAATAATAATAATAATAATAATAATAATAATAATAATATATAATAATAATAATAATAATAATAATAATAATGATAATAATAATAATAATAATAATAATAATAATAATAATAATAATAATAATAATAATGATAATGATAATAATAATAATATAATAATAATAATAATAATAATAATATAATAATAATGATATATAAATAGTAATGAAGGGAATGAACAAAGAAAGCGAAGAAAGAAAGTAGAAGAAGAAGAAAAAGAAGAAGCAGAGGGAACAAAGGAGCGAAGAAGGTAATAAAACGAAGTGAAGAAGAAGAAGAAGGAAAAAAAGAGTAGTCAGTGTGAAGAAAGAAAAGACGACGAAGAATCATTAAAAGAAAGAAACAAAGTAAACAAAGACAAGCATAAGGAAAAATCGAATATGAAAAGATTTTTTGAATTTTGAAAATATTTGAAGATTTTAAGATTTTAGTTTAATTCCATTTGTTACAATGGATATTCTTTGCTGTGACATGCTGTCTGTTTTATTTTGCCCAAATCTCCCCCTGTGTGCAAGGAATGGCCGGGGTTACCATTCACTGGCCGGGCGTGGGATTGAACGCAGGTCCGCAAGATTGCAAGACCAGCACCTTACCGCTGCGCCAGCACAGCACAAAAAAAAAAAAAAAAAAAAAAAAAAAAAAAAACATGTGGGTTTGCCGCTGTGTCATTTCCTCTCTCTTTTTCCTTCTCCCTTCTTTCTTTGTACATACTTTTCCCACAGTTTTCTCTTCCTCCTCTTCTACTTTTTGACCTTCTTCCGTGTCCACCTGTTTCTTCTCGTCCCATTTCTTTTCATAATATTTGTTTCCTATCGCTCTTTTCTGCTCCTTTTCTTAGGATGTATAAAATCTTTGTGTTGTTTGGCTGTCAAGTCTTGAGAGAGAGAGAGAGAGAGAGAGAGAGAGAGAGAGAGAGAGAGAGAGAGAGAGAGAGAGAGAGAGAGAGAGAGAGAGAGAGAGAGAGAGAGAGAGAGAGGAGAGAGAGAGAGAGGAGAGAGGAGAGAGAGAGAGAGAAAGAGAGAGAGAGAAAGAGAGAAAGAAAGAAGAAAGGAAGAGAAGAGAAGAGAGAAAGAGAGAGAGAGAGAGAGAGAGAGAGAGAGAGAGAGAGAGAGAGAGAGAGAGAGAGAGAGAGAGAGAGAGAGAGAGAGAGAGAGAGAGAGAGAGAAGCATAGGTACAGGCACAGACAAACACAGAAACGGAAACCGATGAAGAACGAAAAAACGAAAAAAAACCCATAAAAATAGAAACAATAAAAAAAAAAAAAAAACATGGAGATGAAGACGGAAAAGAAAGAACTGAAGAGAAAGAAAAGAATAAAATTCACTCTGGACAAAGAAGATTGGAAATAGAATAAAGAAATAGAAAAATAAAGAACTTAATAGATAAGGAAGGAAATAGAAATCAGCGAATAGATATATAAAGAAAGAAAGAAGGGGAGAATTGAAGACGACGAATGATGAAAACGTGGAAAAGCAACAAATAGGAGTTAAAAAAAGAATGAATGGAAGAAGAAGAAGAAGAGGAAAGAAGAAGAAGAAGGAAGAGGAGGAAAGAAAGAAAGAAAAGGGCAAGAAAAGAAAATGAGTAGAAGAGAGAAAAAAGAAGAAAAAAGAGAGAGAGAGGAAAAAAAGAAAAGAAAAGAAAAGAGGGAAGAAAAAATAAAAATAAAATAAAAAAATAAAAAGAGAGCGAGAAAAAAAGAGAAATTAAATAGGACAGAAGTGAGAATAGTTAGAAGGAAAAAGGAAACAACTAGAAAAGAGGAAGATAATGAAATGGAAGCAAACATTTTCAATACTTTTTCCATCGGAATGTTATGGAAATTTGCACACAAGACATGATCCAAAATTACAAAGCTGTTCTGCATAATTACTCGCGTCTTTCAACTGCTAGAATAATAGGAAGAGAATAAATCAGAAGATAAATATAATAAAAAATCCGAAAATCTCGATTTTGCGGGGTCTAGACCTTAAGTAAGTGGTCTCGGTCCGAGGTCAAGTCTAGACCAAGGTCAAGTTAAAAAGAGGAAGTCGAGGGTTTCTCTGTCCGAGGTCAAGTTTAGACCAGACGGAAGTGGTCTCTGTCCGAGGTCAAGTTTAAGTGGTCTCTGTCCGAGGAAAGGTCTTAAAGGTCAAGTTTAAGTGGTCTTAAGGTCAGTTTAGACCAGACGGAAGTGGTCTCTGTCCGAGGTCAAGACCAGACGGAAGTGGTCTCTGTCCGAGGTCAAGTTTAGACCAGAGGTCAAGTTTAGACCAGACGGAAGTGGTCTCTGTGTCCCGCTCTAAAAAGTGGTCTCTGTCCGAGGTCAAGTCTAGACCGTCGCCCTCAGGAAGTGGTCTTTGCCCGAGGTCAGGTCTAGACCAAAGGGAAGTGGTCTCTCGTCGCCGTCTGCGCTGTCTGCC